CAAGCCAAATTTGCTTTCTATCCTCTCCACTCTGGAGGAGATAATAGAGAGGAATTAGTTCTACTTCCACAGGACAGTTTTTCAGACAACAGACATACAAACCTATGGCAATTCCTCAGGCTATACCAGATTTAGTCACAGTGGACCAAACACACCCATGGAGCATTACCCAAGTCTACCTGAGAAGTACCAAAGTCTACACTGGAAAAGGTGGTGGGGGAACAGGAAAGAGAAAACTATTTTTTTTCTTTTTTTTGATACTGGGGATTGAACCCAGTGGTACTCTACCACTTAGCCACATCCCTATCCCTTTTTATTTTGAGATAGGGTCTTGCTATGTTGCTTAGGCCTCGATAAATTGCTGAGGCTGGCCTTGAACTTGTTATCCTTTTGCTTCAGCCTCTGAGTGTCTGGGATTACAGGCATGCACCACCACATCCAATAAAAATTAATTTCTATAGGGGGAAATTTTATTGATTGAAAAAAACACTTGTTTTCGGGCTGGGGTTGGGGCTCAGTGGTAGCGTGCTTGCCTAGCATGTGTGAGGCACTGGGTTCGATTCTTAGCACCACATATAAACAAATAAATGAATAAAGGTCCATCAATAACTAATAAAAAATTAAAAAAAAACACTTGTTTTTCACTTCAAGAAAATGTTTCAAGAAAGAGTGAAAGTAAAGGACTAATTTAAGATACTGCAGTGAAATTAGACTGAATGGGAGTGAGGAACATTCCTTCAAAAGGGTAAGGAGCACTTGCTGTATGCCCAGTGTATTGTTTTCCTATTTATGCTATAACAAATCACCAAAAATTTAATGGCTTAAAACAACACAAATCTATTCTCTTATAGTTCTAGAAATCAGAAGTCTAAAAGCATGGTATAGGCAGGGCTGAATTCTTTTTGGTAACTTCTAGAGAGAATGTTTCTTTCCTCTTTTAGTTTCTAGAGGTTGCCTGAGTTCCTTGGCTTATGGCTTTTCTTCACATCACTCCAACTTCTTGCTTCCATCTTATTACTAACTTGGATCATCTTGCCTCTCTCTTATAAGTTATCTTTGTAATTATATTGGTTTGGACCACCTAATAATTCAGGTTAACCTCCTCATATCAAAGTCCTTAATTTTCATTACATCTGCAAAGCACTTTTAACCATGCAAAGTAACATCCACAGGTTTCAGGGATTGGGATGTGAACATCTTTGGGCCTACCATAGCCAGTTACAAGGTAGACTAACTATGGAGAAGGCAAGTCCCCCAGGTCCTAGATCTAATGCAATTTCAGATTTGTGTGAATTATCTTACTTCTTTGGATGTGAGCCTTTTAACTGTTGGCTTTTGTGTGAGATGACCAATTTTGGTTCAATCATCTTTGTCCAGGGATGGACAGGGATGGAAGGGATGAAGTGGTAACAACTAACACGACTAAAGCCCCACTCAGGTTGCTTTCTTCCTGGAGAAACTGAGTAAGAATACTTAGAAAGCATTTTGGACATAGGAGGCAAACAAAATGACCAAAAGTATGAGTTGTACAGGCAACCTCACAGATTCTAGTTCTGATGCTGCTGTAGGCCTTGAACAACTATCTTAACCAATGGGCCTCAGTTTTCACTCGTGCCAAATGGAGCTTATAGTGTCATCTTCATATGGTTGTCATGAGAACTAAGTCTAAGGTAGTATATATAAAAGGCTTAGCAATGGACCTGATATAGAGCAAGGGCTTGATGAATGTTGTTGCCTTTTATTATCTGAAGGCTTAACTGGTCCTAAGCATGTTTCCTGGCTTGTCCTCATTTGGGTTCCCTAGGGGACCCAAGTAGCCAAGTGCTCTACCACTGAGTTACAGCCCTACCCCTTTTTATTTTGAGACAGGGTTTTGCAAAGATGCCCTTGAACTTGCAATTCTCCTGCTTCTGCCTCCCGAGTAGCTGGGATCACAGGCATGCATCATTGTCTGGCTGCTCAGTCCATCTTTGAGGACTGGAGGACAAGACATTGGCACATTCTGCGCCAAGATACAGGGGGCTCTGTTTGACCATGTTCATTATTATCCAGTCAGCAGATATGACTGAGAAGAATGAATGGCCAGAGTATTGACATAGCCAACAGCCTTGTGAACACCATTGTTGGCTTTACCCCTATGACCATTCCTGTTTGCAGAACTTGGGGGAGGGGAATGAATTTAACCAGAGGTTGTTTTGGAAAGTAGAAGAGGAAAAGATAGGACAAAGAGGAAAAAAACTGTTACCAGGACCCTGGTACACATGCCAGGCTCATCTAAAGCAGGGATAAATATGTTCCCTTCTGCCTCCCGGCTAAGCACTTGAAAGATCTAAAAAAGTAACTGCTTACTGGAAGAGTTTTTTTATTTGGGAGCTGAAGTGATTATTTCCATGTGATTCTAATTTTCAAAATTTCAGCAACTCTTAGAATGGATTTTTTTTATCATGTGAGAAAGACTAAAATAAGAAGACCCATCATTTCCATGTGTGCTTTATGAAAGCACCTTCATATAACATGGCAATATTTTGGAAAGCAAGAGGGGTATGGTGGCCCAGCCTTGTAATTTTTTTTTTTTTTTCCATTCCATATTTTTTATTGGTATGGAAAGCCCTGCCCAGTGACTCAGGAGGCTGAGGCAGGAAACTTGCAAGTTTGAGGCCAGCCTCAGCAGTTTAGTGAGACCCTGTCTCAAAAAAAAAAGGGGGGGGGGCTGGGATGTGGCTCAAGCGATAGCGCGCTCGCCTGGCATGCGTGCGGCCCGGGTTCGATCCTCAGCACCACATACAAACAAAGATGTTGTATCCGCCGATAACTAAAAAAAAAATAAATAAATAAATAAATTAAAAAACAGTGGTCAATGTAGCTCAGTGGTAAAGCATCCCTGAGTTCAATCTCCAATATCACAAAAACAAACAAACTTCAGAAAGCAATGTTGGGTAAAAAGTGGTTCTGCAAATGTTCTTCAAACTCCAGCCATTGGCTATGATGAGTACAGCTTGACCAGCCCAGTTACATTGTTCCAGTTTTTTTAAATTACATAACACTCATTTATCATAAATGAAGTTAAGAAGTGGGATGGAAAGAGTAGTGAGGGGAGGGGAAAGACATTTAAAGCTTGGGATGGTCAACTTTTGAGGCTGGAATGCTCATACCCCAGTGCACCTTAACAATATGAAAAATAATGGAGGCTCTGTGAATTTATCAAGATGATTAATGTATTTAGGGAGTATGAGGTCAAAACTCATCAGTGATTGGACAGAGCAGGGACTTCTCTAAACCTGACTCATTTCAAGGACAACAATCCGATGACTTCAAGTCATTCAATCTGTTCCATTCCATTAAGTAAAATCAACTGAACTCACAGAAATCTCCTTTTAGAGTGCAAACTGGAGTGTTAGAAAACTCCCTGGAGAGGAAGGTCAGTCTCAAGCTGAGTCTTATTAACTAAAATTTACTTAAAAAATACATAATGGCTACTTTCTACTTTCCATAAAACTCAAAAAGTAATACAAATATGTAACAACAAATCCCGTCATTATGTACAAATATAATGCACCAATAAAAATGTGGTGTAGAAAAAAACTCAAAATGAATTAGGGACACAATTACTACTTTCCATAAAACTAAAAAATAGGAGTTGAAGTTGTGAAAATCTAATGTGTTTTAAGATACATTTTTTAAGAGAGAGACAGAGAATTTTAATATTTATTTTTTAGCTTTCGGCGGACCCAACATCTTTGTATGTGGTGCTGAGGATCGAACCCAGACCGCACGCATGCCAGGAGAGCGCACTACCGCTTGAGCCACATCCCCAGCCCCTGTTTTAAGATACATTTAAAAAAATATCACATAAAAGTTTATTCAGCAGTGAATAAGTTTTTACTCCTACCAATTTCCCCTCAATTCTTAAAAGCCTGTAAGGGGCTGGGGGTATAACTCGGTGGTAGAAGCTTACCTAGCTTGTGCAAGGCCCTGAGTTCAATCCCTAGCCCTGAGGAAAAAGCAGCAACAAACATGCTGAGAAATTTAAAGTCCTGGAGGGGAAAAGAACCCAGGTCAGTGCATTCTCTGGTTTATTCTATAAATTTAATGTTTCTTTAATACCAAATAGAAGATTCATTAGTATATAAACCCAACAGCTTTTGTTGACTATAAAAGACTGTATTTGTAGTTTCAGTTCTCTAGAACAATTTACCAGAACAAAACAGTCAACCACTAAGAAATATGTGATAGGGGGATGGAGGGAAGGAGAGAGGGAGGATGGAGGAGGAGGGAGAGAGGGGGAGAGGGAGGGAGGGAAGAAGTGGGGAGAGGGGAGAACGAGAACAACCTTACCTTTTGCATATCAGCACTAACAATTTTCCCAATGACCTTCAGCAAGTATGTTTTTCAAATATCATGAAAATGTTTATGATCCACTCAAAGTCCCCTCATGACACCACATAACCAGTATGGCATTAATAGTCTCAGGACCCAAATAGAATGAATATTGTAAAATACATATATGTAAGTGATGCTCAGTTTACTAAGCCTTCTGAACCTCATCACTTTAGAGAGGATCCATTTCCCTGGTGATTTTTTTAAATACTTAATTTTTTAGTTGTAGTTGGACACAATACCTTTATTTTATTTATTTGTTTTTATGTGGTGCTGAGGATTGAACCCAGGGCCTCACATGTGCAAAGCAAGTGCTCTACCTCTGAGCCACAACCCCAGCCCTCCCTGGTGATCTTTAATGGTGATTCTAAGGTTTTTATCTTACCAGCCTGATAAAATGGTTTCTGGGTCATGTCCAAATACCCAGAGTTCTCTTTGGCTCCAAAGAGTATTGACATGAATCTGTGCTTCTAAACATCCAGTCTCTCCTCCTCTTCCTCCCTATCCCCAACCATCTGTTTGTTTTCATTTAGTGAATATGATTTTTTAAATATAAAAGAAACACAGGTAAGATATTCTAAAACCAATATGTCAAAATAAAAAATTACCACACAGACAGTAGTTAACAGTTTTCATAATTTAATGAAAAAGTATTGGTAAAAAGGTGACATTTGAAAAAAGACTGAGTTTATCTTGAAAACTGGACTATATAAGACAAAATGAAAAAATTAACAAAGGTTAAGAGGTAATACTTGAAACAACAACAAAATGTAGCAAATGCATTTTGGGGCAATTGAAATGTATACAACTGAAGGCTCCTTCATTTACCTAGGAAAATCCTGTAAAAATATTACCATTATTATTTCCCTGACTGGAATGATATTTTACTCCATACTCTCCCTATGGCATTACATATGGAATTTGGCTGAAGCACTATTTTGATGTTTGCTTTTCCTTCCACTCACTCAGAATGGAAAGGAAGGAAAGGACACAGGCCTCTAACATAAGGAGTTTACAACACAGCTCTATTATAATTTTGTTACCATGAAAGTGTCAAATTAATGTCTACCCCAGGAGAACTCAAAGAAAAAGCACAGAAGCCCAGTGCATGAATAAGGGAAATTCTCTTCCTCATTTTTCCATTCAAACAAAATATAGGACACCTACCACATATGTTATGGCATGTTCACACATGTACATAGGCACAAAAGAAACATTTAGAAGATGTAGGCAAAGGAGAGGCAAAATACAGAAGTTTTCAGAAAAAGCGAAAACAAAAGGCAGAGGAACCAATTAACAAGGCTTTAAGAACAAAAGTGGGGGAAAGGAAAACTGCTGAGTCTTCCATATTGATGGAGAGAGGGCCCCTGCCTCCACTGACTGGCACCTACTGCAGCTGGACTGTTTCACCAGTAAGAAACTTTAAAAATTGAAAATGGCCACTTTTGTCTGAAACTTCCCACTATACTTTCCCAAACTAGAAGAAAGAGAATATCAATTTAAGGCTAAGAAGAAAAGAGAGCTGAGAATTAGTCTGCTTCACATTTTAAAAATGGCATCTTCCCCCTTTCTTAAATGGGAAGCAGACATGTTTTATCCCCTCCTCCCAAAATGTAACTATTCTCTTCCTCCAGAAATTAATCAAGGCTGAGTTTGGGAACAGGGTAGAAGCAACTTCTGAAAAAACAACTCCAGCCTTTTTGTTTGGAAAATTGTCTTGGATTCAAAATTGATACAAAGCTAAATTATATCCATGTGTTAAACACATGCTTTCAAATTCTGTTGACAATAAAAATCTGTTTCAAAATTAAAGCAGGTAAGAATACTTAACCTCTGTGCATTTTATTATATTTTAATTATACCTCAATAAAAATTTTTATAAACATTAAAGCAGGTATACAAAAACTGTCAGCCAAACTTATTTTAGTCAAACTTATTTGAAAACAACACAAAACCCTGACCTGGTACAAATATCCCAGAAATGGTCTCACTTTGGGAAAGGCTCTGGGATCCTTCACAAATGCCTAAACAGAGAGAATCAGAGCATTTTTTTCTTGGAAGTAGTACTTCTGTACTTTTGTAAACACTATCCACAAGTTAGGTTTTTTTATGCTTGTTAGCTGGGTGAAGAGAGTTATAAGTGCGTCCCCAACAAGCACGTCTAGGAACAGGCACTGGACATTTGTAAGCATTAGGAGAATCGACTCAGTAAGTTATGATACTGTGAAAAGAACTCAACCTTGCACAAAGCAAAGGAAGAGGGTAGTGAGTCTGACAGTATCTGAGAATGTTGGTTTCCTGGTCTCTCCCCTGAAGAGGGTTTAGAGACATTAGCAGAGTTAGAAACTTTCTACAGGCAGGAGCTCTGAAACTCACATGCTGTAGTTTGGAAAGATAAGTAGTTTTAGTGTCTGATAATCATGGTCTCTTGAAAATCCATTAACAATGCAAAGACTTAGTATATAGACTCATCAACATGTTAATGTATCTGGAAAGCTGCCCTCAAGTATTTACTGAGCAAATACTCTGGACCCACTGTTCCCAATAGCTTCTGACAAACAAACCTCTGGACAACCTGAAATTCTTGTAATGTGCTTGTATAAACTAGAGTTGAAACCTTTTCCAAAACTGCAAGTCAATTTGTTGTGGAAAAAATTCTTAAATTTTCCCTGCAATTCCTCCTAATATTATGCTAGAACCCTTTTGGTGTATGGATTTCCCCCCAAATATGGGGCAAAGGCAATGTTTGGGTTAAATTTGATAGTTTCTCATCACCTTTGCATTGAACTATGGGAGAGAGGATGTGCCTTGCTTTTACCATGGCTATCCCGTCTAGAATCATGGGGAGGATTTTCCCTGTCTGAACTATCTCTTCTTACCCTGGCCTTTTCTTTATTTCCATCACTTTCTGCTTCAGAATCACTAAGCTCTAGATCTGGGCAATATCCATCATTTTCCTGATATGAAGCTCTCCCTGCAGATCGCCTGAGAAGCTGCCTACCCCAAAACTGCTCCTTTGGGCTCACATTCTTGGTTGGCTTCACACAACATTGGAGATCTTCAGTGGTCCTCACCCATCTATTGGTGGCCTCTTTAAAGGACCTGCCAAAGTGTTCCATAGTGGACTTTCTAATGCTACCCTGACTGGCCAAGTGGGAGCTAAGCATGGACTCCTCACTTGAGCTATCTTTTTGGGTGACATTCCCAGACTTGCCACCCTCTACACCATTGGATTTGGCAAACTTAGAGTTAGTCTGACTTTTCCCATTCCCAACTGAAGACTGTTCATGAAGGGCTGCCTGAAGGGCCAGAGGTTTCCCCAGTGACTGCCCATGATAGAACTCTGCAGAGGGAGCTCTCCAAGCAGGACTGGAATCTTTTGCTTCACTCCGAGAATGGCTGAGACTGGCCAGCAAACAGTTACTCTTGCTCTCTAGTGGATGTCTTGGATAGGATTTCACTTTCATTTCTAGTGGCTCCTGAGGCACCTGCATGCTATTTTTACTGTGAACGGGGGAGCCACTGCCAGGAGAGCAGGGTCGGTGATCAGCCTCTGTGGAGCTGTTTTTGCAGTCTTCCAGGGTTGATCTGGGCATTTTTAACTTTAAGGTAATTCTTGGTGGTGGGTAAAACAATGAGTTTTCTAGTGCATTTGTCAAAGGAAGTCCTGAGATTAAAAAGAAAGATTCATTTTAGCATCTGATTTAAATAAACAACATACATGCTTATGGTAGAATAAGTTCACCTACCCATTCTTCCACAGGTCTAACGAGCACTTGTCTTTGATATGTAAGAACATCATTGTGTAGCAGCTAATGTGAGCTGAACTAGAAGATGGGATCCAGAATGCTACAGATGAAAGGCTCAGAAATGCTACTGTTTCGTGGCTCCCAACATTTTCACCTTTGTTTTCCCAATCTGTAAAATTATCACAAAGACTAGTGTACTGCCTCCTACATCCTCATCTCTGCCCCTTTTATTTCTGAGAAGAATGTCACTAGCAATGACTAGGAACAGGCTTTCCCTGTGTGTGCATGCACAGTACTTAGGATGTACCTCAGATAGACATTTCAAATGCTTTCCTCCCTTCTCTCCTGGTCCTCCTAAAGCAAGTCAACTACAAATCCTCAGAAGTCTAGTACAGATTTTGGTGTGTGAAGAATAAATATATATTTCAGCCTGACATTAGAAGTCATGGTGGTTCCTGCAAATTTTATGTCTTTAACCTGGAATAATTTCCTAAGTATGAATGAACATTATGGAGATATGGGGAGGTTGTGTAGTATAGATAAGGTCAGCAGGAAAGAATCACAATATTTCTGCCACTGACTGGTTATAGGCATGGCCTGGGGAGTTTTGGTAGTCAGTTACCTGATTAAGTCATCCTATGATTGCAGTTAGAACTGGTCTTCCTCTATTATTTTGAGTGCTCTTAAATAAAAAAGAACACTACCAAACAATTCCTATTTGCATATGGATTTAACCTTTACCCACAGTCATCCTCATGAGATACGGAGAGGACAGCTCTTGGGTGCCCCAATGGGCAGCATGTATTTTCCAAGGGTCTAGGTTGAATAGCCACAGCTCCCATCCCTTCTAGGGCCTGACACCTGTTGATGCTGCAAGCCATAATGAGGTTGATTCCTATAATCAGAAGCCTTGTGGCTGGGGCCAATCTCCTTGGCATGCAGGGGCTCTTTCCTATTGTGTTTTGGTTCTTGTCTTGCCAGTCATGCTGCCCTGTGGCTGAGTAGCCTTGCTGTCTCCTGCTACACAATTCTGTGACCCAGTAATACTCAGCAACACCCCAGAGCCTCTGATGCCTACTTGACACCTCATTTCTGAGTGATTCTCTTGGTTTATGGCTTGCCTTGGCAGTAGCTAATTCTGCTTATCCTGCCCAGTGACCCATAGTTGCTCAGGCTCTGCCACCTAACTCTGTTTTAAATAAGGTGAAGGGAGGTTATAGATTTCACTGAATATGACTGTCATCATTTCAGCCAAATTCCCATGTTTTGGGCACTGTAATTATGCTCACCTGTATCTCACCAAGTGGGATGTGTACCCAGCTGAAAGGGATTCTATCTTGCTGACTGCTTTTCTTCTAGATCAGTTCCTAGACCTAATAGGTGCTCAATATTTTTTAATAAATGAAAACAAGATCTCTTAATTTCTAGCTAAGGATTTGTTTTAATAGAGCACTATAAAGTAACCCTGGAATTAAATGTTTTCTAGAAATGGATTCAATCCTATCAATTTCTAAATGAATTTGATAATCACAGGATAATTTCATGGCTACACCCAATGGCTTCAAATGCCTGTCTTGGATCTAGATGATCTGCCAGAGACTTCCCCCCAACCCTACCCTGGAATTGCTTGCTTTATGAGCTGACAGGGAAATGAGTCATGTTAATATCAGGACTGGACTGAAGCAAATGAGATATCTGACAAGAATTTTAAAAGATCTTTTAAGTGGAAAAGCTGGCATAAAGTTTAAATTAGAATAAAATAGGATGTAACAGAATCTGTATATTTGCCAGGATAATTTAATATACTAATTACCTGCAGCAATTTCTTGGTTAACAAGCTGGACTTGCAAACCGAAGATCTGTTCTTGTATTTTGTTGTGTGACAGTTTCAGCTTCTCTCGCCTGCTTATCATGTAGCACAGATTTCGGACCTGAAAGCCAAATTCCCAGCATTTAGAGTTGTTTATCACATTAAGCAAACCCAGCAAATGAAATTGTTTAGTGAAAATGAAGACTACTAAGGTCAGGTGGGGGTTGGAGTAAGGAGCGAAGATAGGACCCAAGAGCCAAAGGCTAACAGCCACTCGCCAGGAATTCACACAATAGGGTCAAGTTTAGTAGCGTGATTCCCATATCAATCAGCAGCATAAGCAAAGCACCTTCTGAAATCTACTCTTCCTGCAGTGTCATGGGCTTGATATTTATGTACATATCAAAGCTGGGAAGATGGTTTAACAATTCAGCTTTCCCTTTAGGTCCCTGAATACAAAGGATGGCAGTGCTGGCTCCACTACAATTTTCTACCAAGTGCTGGACCAGCAAGGCGAAAGGTATTCTTGGAAGACTGGAAATGGCTTTTTTTGGTCCACATTTTCAACTTAGCCAAGTTTCCATAGCCACAAAGGTAAAATTCTCACTGTCTCATACTCCTCACTTGGGCAAGTTACCCAAACTTTCTGGGCCTCAATTTATTCACATACAAATAGGAATGATAATAATAGTTTTTTTCCCATAAGCATGTTAGAATTATATTAATTAATATTTATAAAATTCTTAGAACAGTGTTGGTAATAATAGTACTAATGGTAGGTGCTATATACATGTCTCTTAAGTTTTAAAGTGAGTCAAATCTAATAGTTTCTTTTCAAATTTTGGTATCAGAGGGGGGAAATCAAGCCATTTCTATAATTATATTCAATTATAAAATTCTCTAGGGTAAACATAGTACTTAACCTTTCTCCGAACCCCTAAAGCACCTAATTTAGAAGATACCTGATAAAATTATCATGAGTTAAATTATCTGGTAGAGTGGCTCTCAACCAGGGGCAATTTTGACTCCCAGAAGAAACATGGTAATTTGGAGACATTTTTGGTTGTCACAACTAGATGTGTATGAGCAGTGCTACTGGTATCTACTGGGTAGAGGCCAGTGATAATGGTACATATCTTAATGCCTATGCTGGGCACAGTAGTGCACAAATGTAATCCCAGCGATTCAGGAGGCTGAGGCAGGAAGATTCCAAGTTCATGGTCAGCCCCAGTCACTTAGTGAGGCCCTAAGGAATTTAGTGAAATTATCTCAAAATGAAAAATAAAAAAAGGGCTGGGGATATAGGTCAGTGGCAGAGCACCCCTGATCCCAATCCCCATCACCAAAACAAAGAAAACAAAATCTTCCCTAAAACAAAGGGAAGCCTGCTACAACAAACAACATCCAGCCCAAAATGTTAATAGTGATGAGATGGGGCATGAGGGCACATGCCTGTAATCCCAGGAGGCTGAGGCAGGAGGATTGCAAGTTCTAGGTCAGCCTCAACAACTTTGTGAGACTCTATCTCAAAATTAAAAAATAAAATGAAATAAAAAGGGTTGGGATGTAGCTCAGTGGTAAAGTGGGTTCAATCCTCAGTACCATAAAAACAAACAAACAAAACAAAACAAAACAAAAAAACCTACCACCATCCCAACAAAAAAACAAAATATCAAGAGTGCAAAGTTTGGGGGCTGGGGTTGTGGCTCAGTGGTAGAGCACTTGCCTAGCATGGTGAGGCACTGGGTTTGATCCTCAGCACCACATATAAATAAGTAAAGTCCATTAATAACTAAAAAATATTTTTAAAAAAGAGTGCCAAGCTTTAGAAACCCTGATCTAGAGTTTTCCTGAACAAAATTCACTTTTTTTCTGGCCTGAAGTCTCATAAATGTGTCAGTAAAGTATAGCTGAGCCAGTTTAGGCTCCACAGTGAATAAAAAGTAAACAAAATGAGAATTTATTTCAAATTTCAAATTCACTGAGCATATGTGTTGAGGCCTCTCTAATCCCTTGAATGTGCCTGTCAAAATTTAAACAGAGCCCAACATCTGGGGCCATAGTAAAATCAGAAAATAAAGGACATGCAGAAGACTACACCATACTGAGCTGGCCATCTTTAAACTAGAAGAGGGACCTCCATCTCTATGCAGAACTGAGATTTGCACACTAATCAGAGGTGGAAAACTTACCCTCTCTAGGTCCTGCCGCAGGTGCATGAACATTCTCATGCGAGTGTGAATGCTTTCCTCTTTTGGCTGTACTAGGCCATTTTCTTCTTCTTCTTTCGGAGGAAATAATGGCTTATTGAAGTTGCTTTTGCGTTTCAGTTTCCAGTAGTTATAGATAAAGTCCACGGTTAATATGGGCATCCCAAGCTCGGCAGCCACATCTTCCACTTGTACCAAAGTATAGAACTCCTCTTCCAGCGCCCGAAGCTTCTGTGCCCGCAGGCTGGTTTTCTCACTTTTGGCCTGGCTCTGCTCAGCAGCTCTGTGGTAGGGGTACTCGACTTCCCCAAGTTTCTGCCTGTTTTGGCTATGCTTGAGGCAGTATGACTTGAACTTAACTTCGTCCCCCTCATCTAGGATGGTCTTCATCTCTAGGCCGTGCTCAAAGGCACAGGTGACATGGAAGGCAGTGATGCAGCTTTTCACGGAGCACTATAGGAAGAAAGGATGTGTTAAAGCATCAGGGTAAGTGCGAAAGGGAGATCACTGAGTCTCTTGGCCTAAACTGAGAGCTTTTAGGAAGCAAAGTAAAGATAGGGAGCTATGGGGAAGACTGTTCCTAAACTGACCATGATAGATGCTTTAGAAGTAACCTAGAAAATTTGCTCCTACAGAATACAGCAAATCAGAATTGTTTAACTCTCCCTTTAAGGTTTTAGCTTAAGTATTCAAGCCTTCAGTTATCTTTTCTTGTTTTTGGTACTGGGGATTTAACCCAGGGGCACTTTACCAATAAGCTACATCCCAATCCCTTTTTACTTTTTTGAGACAGGTTCCCACTAAGTTGATTAGGGCCTCTTTACATTGCTGGGGCTGGCCTCCAACTGGCAATCCTTCTGCCTTAGCCTCCCAAGTCACTGGGATTATAGGAGTGTGCTACTGTGCTCAGCTTTTTTTTTTTCTTCTTCTTCAGCTACTGGGGATTGGACCTAGCTTCTTGCTAGGTAAGTGCTCTACCACTGAGCTACATCCTTGAACCGTTTTTATTTTTATTTTGAGACAGGGTCTCTCAGGCTGGCTTTGAACTTGTGATCCTTCTGCTTCAGCCTCCCAAGTAGCTGGGATTATAGTACAAGTCTGTGCCACCACACCTAGCTAAACCTTCAGTTTTTCTGAGAAGCCTTTAGCAACTTATAGAAACACTTATGAGGTCTCTTCTCTGGGTCTCCCATAACACCCTATATATCCTTTTATAGTAGTAATTTTCACACTGTAAGTTCTCTAGCCATAGATCCTAAAGACAGAAGCTGTGTCATTAATTTTGGAAATCATTATCAATTACTGAATAAGCAGTTGATCAGAAAATGCTTTTGAACAAATGAAAATAAAAACAAAATCAATATTATTGCCAGAACATCCATTGGTTCTATAAAAGTTGTGGGGGGGGTGTGTGGCTCAGTGGTAGAGCAGTTGCCTAATGTGCAGGAGGCCCTGGGTTTGAACCCTAGAACTACAAATAATAATAATAAAAACAAATACTTTAAAAGGTCATAGAAATTATAATATCTGAGTAACCCAACTTCTAGAAATTATTATTGTAGAATTGAGCTGTCCAACATAGTAGTCAACTAGTCATGAATGTCTATTTAAATCTTAAGTTAATTAAAATTGGGCTAGGAATGTAGTCCAGTGGTAAAGCACTTGCCTAGCACATGCAAGGCCCTGGGCTCAATCCTCAGCACCACAAAAATTTTAATTAAAATTATATATAATGAAAAGTGTAGCTCCTTAGTTATACTAGCCACATTCCAACCATATGAGACAGCACAGATATAAAACAATTCCATCAGAAAGCTCTATTAAAAAGTGTGGTTATAGACATTCTGAATGTGTTTATAATATTCTGCCATTCATTCATAGATTTACAACATTTTTAAACATTACTGTGGAGTATACACTGAATATTCATCAGTGAATAGTAGAAAGGAGGCATAGTAGAAAGAATTTGGTCCATGATAGCTGCATTTCTTGTACTTTCCTTAGATTCAATTGCTATATGTTGTGATTACAATGTTACAGCTTTCCTTCCAAAGATTTAAAATACAGGGGTACACTTATATGTTTAAGTAGAAGAAGAGAGGAAAGCAAGAGAGGAATTATTTCTAAGGAAATATTGGGAATTTTTCTAAGTCTCAAAGCTTTTGGAAGCCTACCTCTGGAGGGCCCGCTGCTCTATGTATCAGGGGTTTGATAATTGTTAAACAGAGAATGACCATGGATATGAACAAAGACAGAAAGAATGCAAAGTCTGACAGGTCTCCTCAGACACCTAAGAGAATACTGGCAAACATCAAAGCTTTATTGGGGGAAGATCTCATTTAAGCTAATTTCACAGGATAAGGAATTCCAGGGATGGAATATAATTCTAACATCATCTAATCTAGTCTCACATTTATTATTGCTTGAACTTCCTCTATAGTACTTGATTTTAGATCTTCAACCCACTCCCCTTCACCTTCCAAATAAGTAGTATAATCTAGTCACATATTATACTCTTTCACTGACAAAAAGCTCACAATCTCCTACTACAGCCCTCCCCAGCTTTGGCCAATTGTATCAGAAAATTTTGCTACATCACACTAAAATCTGTATGCTTAAAATTTCCACAGATTTGGCAAGCCTCATGAAAATGAGGATAATGAAAACCCAGAACATACTTTTATCTGAGTACCTTTTATTATCATTTGGCTAAGAAACTAGCCAGACATTTCAAAAACAAGTAGTAAAGGGCATTCGTTAGCAAAAGATTAAAAGTGTTGGCCATAGTGCTCTTTTGCTGTTTAATAACAGATACAAATATGGTAAGAAAAAACAAAATGATTTTCTTTTTAAGGGGATGAACCTGTAACATACAATAAAAGTCCCATCCACTTAGGAGGCTGAGGCAGGAGGATTGTGAGTTTGAGGCTAGCCTGAGCAACATAATGAGATCCCCTTCACAAACACACTACTACTACTACTACTACTACTACTACTACTACTGCTGCTACTACTAGTACTACTAATACCAATAAGAAGCTAAAAAGAGATTATCTCTCTCAGGTCAAACTTATAGAATGTAGATACATTAATATAGATTACTCAAAATAAAAGACAATACACAGATAAGAATTTGGTACTTATATGAAAAATGGAATGTCTCTTAGGAAACTGCCATAAACTGGGTGCGGTGGCACACGCCTGTTATCCCAGCGACTCAGGAGGCTGAGGCAGGAGGATCGCAAGTTCAAGGCCAGCCTGGGCAACTTAGTGAGACCCTGTCTCAAAATAAAAAAATAAAAAGGGCTAGGGATATAGCTCAGTGGTAGAGTACCTCTGGGTTTAATCCCCAGTACATACATACGTATATATACACATACATACATACATAAAATTCATCTTGTTTAAGAAAAGGTCATTCTGTGCTATTTATAACTGGAGGTCTATATACTTTGGTGATAAAGAAGAAATGCCAACTAGGTTTTGGAACCACTCAAATACTTATTTCTTGCTGGGAATGTGGCTCAGTGGTACAGTGCTTGCCTGGCACCCATAAGGTCCTGAGTTAAATTTTCAGCATGACACACACAAAAATACACTTTTTAATGGTGGTGTGCATCAGTCCTAAAGCCTCATGCATGCTAGGCAAATGCTCTATCATTAAGCTACATCTCCAGTCCAATATTTTTTTCTGAAAAGATAAAGGCTTATTCTACTAAACAAAATGCCTTTGCATGTATATCATTTATTTTTACTCTAACCACTAAAGATGAGGGGAGGTGTTATTATGCCCCTTAAAACCCACGTTTATTCTTAAAATTTTAGAAACACCTCAATTTTTATACCTTTATTTTATTTATTTATTATTTTTATGTGGTGCTGAGGATCGAACCCAGTGCCTCTCATGTGCTACACAAGCTTTCCACCAAGTTACAACCCCAGCCCTAATTTTTTAAAAAAAAATATTTTAACTGAAATAACTGCTCTCATTGTGTTGAGCAAGTAGCACTCATACAAACATCTTTATACATGTTACTATATGCATATCAGTGTGGTTATCACATCCACTCACTGAAATAACACAACCCCCCAGGTTTACTGAGACATCTTACACATTACAAAACTCACCAATTTTAAATTAACATTTCAATGGTTTTCAGTATATTCATAGGGTTGTACAGCCACCATCACTACCTAATTCCATCTTCATCACCTCCAAAAAGAAATCTTGTACTCATTTGTAGTCATTCTCTGTTCCCAACCCAAAACCCAAGAAATCACTAATCAATTTTCTATTGCTATAGATTTGTTCATTCTGGACCTTTTATATAAGTGGAATCATACAAGATGTAGCTATTTGTGTTTGGCTTCTTTCATTTGGCATGTTTTTAAGGTTCATCAGTATCATAGCATATGTTAGAATTTCAATTCTGTCAGGCACAGTGGCACACACCTGTAATTCCAGCAACTCAGGAGGCTGAGTCAGGGGGATTGAAAATGCAAAGCCAGCCTCAAGCAACTTAGTGAGACCCTGTCTCAAAAATTAAACAGAACTAGGGATGTAGCTCAGTGTTAAAACATTTTGGGTTCAATTCCCAGTACGACTACCATTACCAACAACAAAACAAAACTCAAACACTTCAATCTTGTTTATGGCCAAAATATATTCCATTGTAAGGATATATCCCATTTATTAATCCATTCATTAGTTGATAGACATCTGTGTGTTTTTCACTTTTGGCTATTATAAAACAATGCTGCTATGAAAACTCATATAGAAGTTTTTATATGACTATATGTTTTTATTTTTCATGAGTATTGTGCAGTAAAGAATTACCCTTCTCCAAAGAAAGGTTTGGCCCTTTGCCTCCAGCCCCTGAGAAGTAACTTTGAAGCCTTTGGGATGTCTGACCTATCTGACAAGAGCTGTCTTTAATTACCTGGCAGCGTTGGGCCAAGTCAGATAGTCTATGCTAACAGCATGATTTACAGTGCAGGCTTTGGGCCATGTGGCATCAGCCTAACCTCTAGAGGGACCTGGAACTGAGGTCATCCACGTGGGTGGTCAGCTGTGTCTACATGGTCAAGCCCCAATGATATTGGCTGAGCTTTGCAGGTTGACAATAGCCTGGTGTATCACACATTGTTTCTGGGAGAAATAAGCTCTCTCTGATCAGCTCCCCTGGAAGGGTATCAATAGAAGTTATACTCCCGTTCTGTCCTAGACCATGCCCTATGTGCCTTTTTCTTTGGCTAATTCTAAATCTGTGTTTCCTTTCACTAAAACAAATCATAACTGCACATAATGGCTTTCCGCATTCTGTGAGTACTTTTAGTGAATTAATGACTCTAAAGACAGTCTTGGGGAAATTTCAAAATATGGGTACCTACTTAGAAATGGAATCACTGGTTTATGGGGTCACTTTTGTTGACTGTTTTGAAAAATTGTCAAA